TATCCTTCTTTTACTCTTTAAAATAAAAATAAATAAAAATAAATAAATAAATAAATAAGGGCTGGGGATACAGCTCAGTGGCTTAAGTGCCTGCCTGGCAAGCGCAAGGTCATGAGTTTGATCCCTGGTACAACAAAAAACAAACAAACAAGAAGAAAAACAAAGACAAAACAAAACAAAAACAAATAAAAATAATGATATTAGTTCAAAATAGATTGGAAAACTAAACTATACTATACTCATTAGAATACTCTACCATCTTTCCACTAAAAAACAAATCTTATCCCAGGTCATTTTAAAGGCATTCAGGGAAATGATTCAACTCTTTAACACATTCTCTTAAAATAAGAAAAAGGGTAAAAAGGAGAGGAGCATACCTCATATACTAGGGATATTTCATGTCTCTTTCCTCCTGTTTCCCTCCTCTCTCTCTCTCCAACTTTTGATTCCTTTCCCATTTGAAAAATCTCTATCTCCCTACTTCCCATTACCTATCTTTGATTTTGTTCCATGCTTATATTTTGGCTTAATGTATAAAAATTGGTCACATTCAAAATAAAATAAAATAAAGTAAAAAGAGACCAAGGATATAGTCCAGTGTAAAGGCCCTGGGTTCAATCCCCAGAACCACAAAAAACAAAACAACAACAAAACATTTTCTGATAGGTATTCTCCAGTATCACATAAAACCCAAAAAAACCAAGAAAACAAAAGACTTCTCTGATGATAAGTATTCTCTAGGGACTGGCTAATGCCCTTGAAAATAGTAACAACAATTACAGTTCTAAAGGGATATAAATCCAGGCCTTGTATCCCAGCACTCAGGAGGCTGAGGCAGGGGGATCATTGCAAGTTTGAGGCCAGCCTGGGCTACAAAGTGAATTCAAGACCAGCCTGAGCTGCAATAGTGAGACCCTGTCTCAAAAAGACCAGAAATTTTAAAAAAAAAAAAGATAGGATGGCAATTTCTGTGAAACAAAATCATTACAGCGTATCTTCATTCACTGAATCTGGCACCAGAAACTCTGAGCTCTCCTCCAAAGTCAAAATGACCATGAAAAACAAATGTTTAAAAAAAAAAATAAAGGGATATAAAGCCAAGTGTGGTGTCATACTCCTGTAATCCCAGCACTCCGGAGGCTGTGGCAGCAGGATTATTGTGAGTTTGAGACCAGCCTGGGCTACATAGTGAGTTCAGGGCCAGCCTGAACTGCATAGCAAGACCATGTCTCAAAAAGATGAGAATAAAAAAGAGTGTAGATGTTTCTAAAGGGATATAAACAAGAAATTAAGTGGTTGGGACCAAGATATTTCTTCACTGAAATATTTTCATTTTTAAAACATGCTTGTAATCCTAGCAGTAGGGGAGGCTGAGGCAAGAGGATTACAAATTTGAGTCCTGCCTTAGCAATTTAGTGAGATTCTGTCTCAAAAGAAAAAATAAAAAAGACTGGGATATAGCTCAGTAAAAAGGCTCTGCATTCAATCCCCAGTACTGGAAAAAAATACAGATACATGCACATGCACATATATGTATAGAGAAATGTTCCTTTTAGACCTAACTTATACTGCCATCTTGTGGCAATTTTAAAAATTTGTCAATCTTAGAAATCCTCAAATTTTTGACCAGCGGTTTCCTTTGGCTTTTTTTTTTTTTTTAATTTGGTATTAGTGATATAACATTTGGTGGTTTTTTTTTTCCCCCTGTTCGGCTTTCTGTTGTTCAACTTCTTGTTTTCCTTTTGTCAGTTTAATAACAAAAATATTATTTGAACTTTTAATATATGTCTGTGTACCTGGAATCAATGTCTGGAAAAATAAAGTGGTACAATACACAGAAAATCAGAAATCTGCTGGTCTTTGTACAGATTATGTGGACTTCTGACACCTTTTTCCCCCCTCTCACCAATGCTAGAGTCTCTGGGAGTGCTCCTTCCCTGCAGGACTCTGCCTTCCTGATGGAAAAAATAGTACACATTAGTAAATATATCCTGTTCTCTAACTTCCCTATTCCTTGCTATTTCTTTATATCTACACTTTCAGCATATATTGTTCTCCAGGTGTGGGCATACTAGCCTAAGAAGAATCTATACTTTACTATTTCCAAAATGAAAACGATGAAGCTGGGAGTGGTGGTGCACGCCTGTAATCCCAGCCCTCAGAAGGCTGAAGAGATCAAGGCCAGCCTGAACCACAGAGCCAGCCCTGTCCCAGAACACCAAAGAAGACGAACACGATGAACACCATTTATTAGCCCTTCAACACTTTTACTCCTTCCTCCCCTCAGTATTCTGGGTTCGGTTCTAACATCTGGTCTCCACTGTCAAACCAAAACAGGGGCTGCACAGCATCAAATAATTTATGCCAAAAACCAATATTTTAAGATTCTAGTCTTAATTTTTTTGCTTCCATTAAGCATGAGAAACCTCAGTCTAGAAAGAGAAGGTGAATATTACTTACTTGTCCCACAGTACCAAAACCAGGCACTCTATAAGGGATTGATTCCACAGAGGAGGACCGGCTGTAAAAGGTGAGAACAAACAAACAAAAACTGGTGTTAAAACTCAGACACAGACTTACTCTCCTCAGTCCCAATCTGAGCCACATCTAAATATTCCTTTCACCTTCCACCTTTTGCCAGTTGTTTACATTTTGCTTATAGGCTTTTTACTCACCTGACCACCTGGCTGCTATGCTGGCAACTGGGTCGCGGCGTAACTAAAAAACAAAAGTGCAGGATGAAAAGTTGCCACCAGGTTGAAGGGAGGGTAGGGGAATGGGGAAAAAAAGAAACAAGTTACATTACACAGGTACAAATTCTCTATGATGAATGTGGTCATTATACATACCTAAAATGTACCAACAAAAATCATTTTTAAAAAGTTGCCACCAATGGCATCTCTGCCTCAGCTAGTCAATCTGTTGTGAGTGGTAATCTGGTTATATAATGTTTTTCATATCATACATAAGATTAGAGGAATCACATGGTCTCTGAGGAAAAAAAATCTTTTCATATGGGGAAAGAATATTTATTCAACTCATACTTGGGGAAAAACTACTTACCTGACTGTGATGGAGAAGTAATGCCCACTGGTCGAGGTGTAGTCAGCCTAATAAATAAATAAATAAATAAATAAATAAATAAATAGTGAGAGAGAGAAAGAAAGAAAGAAAGCAAGCAAGAAAGAAAGGGAGGCAGTTCTAACCTCACTACGCAGAATTTAAGTGCCACTTTATGGGATCGAGAGATCACTGTTCATAGAAACACTAGCACAGGTTGCTTTCCCTCATGTATCACATGAAAGCAAAGCGTCCATACGGGGGGCACTTTTACTCTACAGCTCCATAAGTGAAATCTCCACTTCTGGCCTGTCCATATTGGTGTTTTATTTTGTTTCAGTACTGGGGACTGAACTCAGGCTCTTGACATTGAGCTGCACCCACCCCCAACTCTTTTTTATTTTTTAAGACAGTGTCTCATTAAATTACTAAAGTTGCCCAGGCTAGGCTCAAACTTGTGATCTTTCCACCTCAGTCTGCCAGAGTCATAACTGAACTTTTAATATATTTCCTTTCTTCCTTCCCATAGTGCCTTACTAACTACTCCCAACTTTACATCTGTCCATCCAGCCATACATCCCTTCATCTCTAATTTATTACTCAACCAATACTTACATAGTATCTATATCACCTATGTCCTAAGATTACAAAGATAACTAGAATAATGTTCTTCTCTTAGAGAGGCTCACAGGCTAGTAAGAAGGACAAAAAATAATCAGAGGCTGGATATATAGTTCAGTAGTAGAACACTTACCTAGTATGTATGAGGCTCTGGGTTCAACCTCCAGAACCACAAAGAAAACCACAATACTGTTTAATAGTGGATGTATCAGAAGTATAGAAATAGTAAAGAATATGAGGCAGTAACTTATGTGAGTGCAGAGATGTCATGTTTTTTAATCCACCAATGCAGGGCTGATAGTACAAGTATTTCACAGCTGGTAGGACACAGCACCAATTTGAAAGAGCTGGTGCTATACATGCAGCATGTAACATACTTCCTGATAAACAGTAGGCACTGAAGAGTTATTGAATGAATGAGTGAACAGAATATCTAACACTACGTATGTAGTCTTTCTAAAGAAAATGATGTGAATTGAATTTGGAAGGATGAGTAGGGTTTTACAACAATATACAAAGGCAAGCACTTACAATTAACATGTCATATCAGCACTCTTTAGTAATGTGTGTGTGTGCGCGTGCACGCGTGCGTGTGAGCGTGCACATATACACCCAGAGCCTCACACACACCAGGCAAGCACTGTACCACTGGGCTATATCTCTAAATCAGTAAGTAACTCTTTATCCAAGAAGTAAAAGATAAATTTATCAACCACTTTCCCCATCATGGACCCCACACAGCCAGGAGTCCAGAAAGAACAGGTTCAAAGCTTCCCAATGCAAAGAAATTATAAATGTTTAAGGACTGGTAACTGCTACTTTCCTTGATCTGATCGGTATACATTGTGTACAGGTATCAAATTACCACACTAGGCCCAATAGAGATGTATAATTGTTAGGTATCAATTTTTTTTTAAAATTAATTAATTTATTTATTTTTCCAGTACCAGGAATTGAACTCACGACCTTGCGCTTGCCAGGTAGGCACTGGGCCGCTGACCTAAATCCCCAGGAGGTGTCAATTTTTAAAAATTTAAAAAGCCCAGAAATTGCCAAGGTTGGGGGCTGGTACAGTCACTGATAAAACTGACCTGCTTCCTTGGTACCGACTTGGAGATTCCTGTAGGTAAAAAAAAAAATGGCGGTGAAGGGAGCTGCAGATCAAAGGTCCTAACCAAAGGACCCCCATCTTACTTGTTAGGTAACTCAGCGGTAACCTTTTCCTGGTGGTCTAGTGGCTAGGATAACTCAGCTGCAGTGTCCCCTACTAGTGGTTGCTACGATTCCTGGCAGGAGAAAATAAAGCAGCAATATTTCCTTAGGAAATTGTTAGCTTTGAGGGAATAAAATTTTGTTCCTCTTCATAAGAGCACATTGGAAATCCTGTAAATTATTATTTTTGAATACTAGGGATTGAATCCAGAGCCTCATGCACATTAGAGAAGTATTCTACCACTGAGATACACCCCCAGCCCTTCTTTTATTTCTTTTTGAGACAGGGTCTCGCTGAGGTTGCCCAGGTTGGCCTTGAATTTGCATTCCTCCCACTTGAACCTCCCAAGTGTCTGGGATTACAGGCATGTGCCACCACGCCTGATTTAGAGAAATATGAAGTCTCTGGGGACTGATTACACTGTGCTAGAACAGTTATAGGAATGGGATCAATAGGACAATTATAAATACACAGAACAGTCTTAGGATGAAAGAAATGTCTAGGAAATAGAGTATGTGTGAGAAGAAGAGTCCCAAGGCACCGTAGACATCTTCTTTTTGTTGTTTTGGTTTCTTCTTTTTTGTAAGCCAAGATCTCACTATAAGGCTCACACTAGCTGTGAACTTGCCATCCTTCCGCTTCAGCCTCCAGAGTGCTGGGATTATAGGCATAAGGCATCATGCCTGACTTTTTGGACTTCTTTTTTTTGTTTTTGTTTTTGTTTTGAGACAGGGTCTTGCTATGCAGTTCAGGCTGGCCTTGAGCTCACTTTGTAGCCCAGGCTGGTCTTGAATGCACAGTGATCCTCCTGCCTCAGCCTCCCAAGTGCCAGGATTACAGGTGTGCGTCACCATGCCCGGCTCCTTTTTGGACTTCTTGAAGAGGAATTTTTATTTTTTTATTTTTTTTTATTTTTTTATTTTTTGGTTTTTCTCCGGTACCAGGAACCGAACTCACGACCTTGCGCTTGCCAGGCAGGCGCTTTTGCCACTGAGCTAAATCCCCAGCCCCGAAGAGGAATTTTTAAAACTGTAACATGTTTTGTCTATAAGAGAGTTGCCTGTCTGGGTGTGGTTTCATACACTGTAATCGCAATATTCTGGGAGCCTGGGCAATTTAGGGACTTGCCAAGACCTTGTAACAAAATAAAAACAAAAAAATTTAAAAGGGCTGGGAATACAGCTCAGTGTAAGGCCTTGGGTTCAATCCCCAGAAATATGAGAGGAAAACAAGATGGACAGACACAGAAACAGACAGACAAAAACAGAGAGACAGAGGCAGAAACACACACACACACACACACACACACACACACACACACACACACACACACAGACTTTCTAACTGGTATGTCATTTTTCACTAATATTCAAGGATTGGTTACAAGTGTCCTAAATATTGGTCAATCCTTTCAGCCCTCCCAGATTTTCTGTGGCCTCATCTACTAACTACAGTACAGGCTTCAGTACAAATATTATCAGTCTCCATGTGTGCTATGATACGGAATGGGCTAGGAAGTATTATTTTATACAGTTAGCTAGACATGAAAAAAAAGGAAGAAAAAATACAATAGTAAAGAAAACTTATTTCATTCACCTTTAGGAAGGCTATAAGTTTCTTCATTTCTTCATTTTCTTTTCTCAAGACTGACAGCTCTCTAGGCAAAAGATGGAAGCAATAAACTCCAAGTCAGTGGGATAAAAAGTATTATCATCATCATCATTACTATTATCAACATCTAGTTAGTGCTTAGTGAAAGACACTTATAGATACCGAGTATTGCTACCTGAGATCTGGTGATTCTGAGGGACAATGGCAGGATGTTGACGGTAAGAACAATCAAGTCAACAAAACAAGCAGTCCCTTGGATGATTTCAGGGGAGTCTACATGGACTTCCATTTCCTCTCTTAATCAGCCAGCTAATGTCTAAAAATTTCCATCAAGGACTTCATCTCTTAGTTTAAGATTTCCAAAATACACCCTCCCAGAGATAACATTTTAAATGTTATATCTCATTTTTATCAGTGTAATGAAAGACTGAAGAAGTGGTCTTTGATACAGGGAAGTTAAAGGAAGCTATACCGTAAGAAGGGCCCAGACAGAAGGAAGAAAAATACAAAACAGAGACCAGCCAAAAATTCTGTACCTGCTTTTCTCAAAATAAACATAACATACATGGGAAAATTTTCGATCTTTGCAAACACAAGGAAATAAGGACTGTAATGTCTCTGAAAGAGGGGGTAAAGCTATCCGTGGATTTTACTTGTTACTTACTTGTCCTGGTTGGCCACTGTTTGCTGTGCCTCCTGAATGGCAGCTTCTAACTTTGTAATTCTGTGCTTATAAAAGGCAATGAGGAGATTTGTTTGCTTCTTCTGGAAACTCCACACCTACTAGGAAAAAACAGGCCTTCGACATGCATTCCCATGACTCCTTTCCCCTCACTTTTGGCAACAAAGGGAAATCGTTCAATTCGTACTTTACTACTGCTCTTTAACGTCTGGAACATTTGGATTAATTCATAACTCTCCAAAAATACACAGCTCAGCACTAGGGAAAGGGCTTTCAGTTCCAGAACACTGACTTTCTAATTTGTTAATGGTAACATTGTAACATAAAATGGTCCTTTAAAAATGTAATATTTTATCCTCTCAGAATTGGTTCTAACTTGTTTACAATTAGCTTAGACTCAGCTTCCAGTCTTTGCTACTACAGAGCACTGGTGCCAAATTTACTTTCCCTAAGATGTGTGTACAGGCACTTGTAAGTGGTTCACACTCCTGCACTGAAAGGTGAAGACACATAGAAGTACCTATTCCGGTATTTTATTTCTGGACATTCACACATAATTGTATCTTTTGTGTCATTTTACAATTTCCTGCACTGAGGTATAGTACTTAGCATGGGATTGCTGAATCAGATCAAAAGTTAATATTCAGATCATGTTTTAGCTTTGTCAACCTCTGCTTTTGAATACACAGCAGTATTATGTCTCATCTGCTTCTTCCTTGCTCCAACTATAAGCTTCTGTCCAGGGTCCTTCTCTAGACCTTAGTACTCTCTTCATAAATATCCTCAGCCTTTTTTACTTTTATTTTGAGACAGGGTCTTTCTAGGTTGTCCAGGTTGGCTTCAAACTGTCAATCCTCCTACTCAGCTTCCTGAGTAGCTGGGATTTCAGGCATATTCCACCATGAATAGATAAAGATATTGTTTACTTGTTTTATAAAAGTAAGGCATGTCTAGTTCAGAAAATTTGGCCAGAGAAGCAGCAGAAAAAAGTCACTCAGAATTCTAGGAGTTACTTAAAATTATGGGAGAAGTCTTGGGGAGCAACAGACACTATGAGTAGATACAATAGACAGCCAAGACACAGTATCCCTAACATTCTAATCGTACCCTTGGGATCAGTCTGTGATGAAATTAAGTCGTCAGGCTAGCGCCAAGAAAACCCACGCCTTCCTATAGACAAGTTACATTTCTCTTTGAAATTTGCAAGCCTCTTATACACACAGAGAACAGACCCTACTGTGGAACCCTAGGGAGCCAGACTACACAATGGGAGGCCCTTTTGCCTAGGCCTAAGCAAAAGGGCAGAACAAAGCAAACACAGAGAACAAAACAGAATAATAATTTCAAAAGAAATTTCCTTGTAAAAGTTAAGGATAAAGACACATTAACCTGAGACATGTTAATCTGTGCCTTTGCTGCTACAAATAATCAACTTACTTTACTAATAAAAACTGGCCTGTTCAGAGATTTGGCTATTATATCTCTCCTGACTTCTTAGAAGGTGAGGTAAGACAGTTTGGGCTTGATGGTGAAGAACTTCAGCAAGAAGAAATCTACTGTGGGTAAGTGGGACTAATGTAGAAGCTCAGTCCAAACTAATGGCTTCCTATAAATTTTATTTAACACATGAAACATAATTTCTATTTTATTTACTGAAGAGAATATTTTTAAACTTTAGTTCTCAATTAGGTCCAGTAAAAGGCGAGACAGACTAAGGGAAAAAACACTGAAAGATACTATCTGTTAGCTTTCTGTTGCTGTGACAAAGTACCTAGAATAATAAATTTTCAGGAGGAAGAGTATTTGCAGTGTGCAGTGTGCAATGTACCATTGTCCACCCAAATCCTAATCATCTCAGCCCGTGTAAGTCATTTTTGGTGGGTTTTCAAAGCCTCCTTACACATTTATTTGCATTTTCAAAGGCCAACTGTTGAACTATTACCTTGCTAGCGTCTGTATAGCTTATAATTCTCCCACCAGCCTGTAACAAGAGTACCACAAAATCTTGAAAAGGTTCATCAGGACCCTGATGAATGGAAGTCAAATCAAGGGGACATCTCACCCTTTGAAGGAAGCTCCCTCCAAGCCCTGTGGCAGGTATCTTAATCTGCTCATACACTGGCAATTCAAAAATAAGTTGATTATTTGTAGCAGCAAAGGCACAGGTTAACATGTCTCAGGTTAACATGTCTTTTGTAATGGCTATGCTATGAGTAGCACTGCATACAGCCTGATCCACACACACAAAAATTCAAAATTCAAAAAAATTTCCTTTCCACAACATATAATTCCCCAGACTTAAACATGCTTTAGCTATTCCTTTCCAGTCATTTGAGTCATACTCTCTTGCCCTAGGAGCTCTATTAAACCTAGGGTAAGGGGCCAGGGATACAGTGCAGTGGCATAAGCACTTGTTTGGCAAGTACAAGGTCTTGAGTTTGATTCCCAGTACCAAAAAATAAAAATAAATAAATAAACCTAGGGTAAAAGGGGCCATGGGACCACAGGTAGTGGCAGCTTATTTTAATTTCTTTAGGGTCTTAAACGTTACAGCTGCATGAAGACACATAATTTGTTCTGGTTTACTGGTGGCTCAAAGTTCAGTGACAGGGTAGATATGTTGAAAACCCTCCACAGACTCCCTGCCCATCTGGCTTCCTTTAACACCAATTGCAAGGGAGAGAGAGAAAACAGCTCCACTCCCTGAGAAAAAAGAATTTTCACCCTGCAGTGCAACAAAACTTCTCCAAGCCAAACAGTGGAAATCTCTGCTTGTGGCTCAGTTAAATTTTCATCAGGCAATGTAAAATAGAATTTGCCACAAACCACTCCTCCAACGAGGAAGGATCCTTTTTGCCCAACACCACTCCTTCCCTTTCTAACTGAAGGAAGTCAGAGGGTTTAAGCTCTATTGGGGGACTACTGTTCTTCCATCTTTTTTCTGCTCTAGGACTCAGTCTTAAAGTAAGACTTTCAGCCGTATCCTTTGTGCTTGTTGTAACAGAAGTATGACCATTAAAACACTCCTTGATGCAAATCCACAAAAGTAAAATAAACACAGAAATCAAGAATACATGGGAGGCTGAGGCAGGAGGATTGTTGTGAGTTCAAGACCAGCCTGGGCTACAAAGTGAGCTCAAGGCCAGCCTGAACTGCATAGTGAGACCCTATCTCAAAAAAAAAAAAAGAAAAAGAAAAAGAATACAACAAACAGTTCCATATACATTTGTGGTTCTTGAAAATCTGTTTACGCCATGTTTAACTCTTGATAAAATCAATATACCTCTCTCCTTTTTGTTTCCCAAGAGCCCATTTTTCTCCTTAGGCCTAGTGAGCTGGTATCTCTCTTTGCCCCAAGTTTTATACCTGATGATATCAATATCAGTACACCTCTGTGATTAATATTGACACTATCAATACACTTCTCCCCCTTTTGGGTGCACAATGAGAAGCGTCCCCTCACCATTTCTTCTTACCCCTGTCCCATGTTCAGGCACAATATACTGCGTCCAGCGCAGCTCTCAAAGTTCCTGGGGAGAAGGACAGTGAGAGGATGGAGAAATTAAAGAGACAGAAAGCTGAGGTCAGGTGGAGCCCTCTCTCTGGATGGAAGGAAAGGAACTGTTCAACCACCACAATGCGTTTATTTATACACTTGTCATATGACACCCCTTTACTTAATTAGCTCACCTCTTACACCCCTGTGTTCTTGGAGCTGGAACACCTGTTCACCTGGGGTGCTCCATGCCCTCAAGGCATTCCTTGGGCTGTCTGTGCTTTTGGCTCCACAAACGTGCACGATTACTAGCTCAGCTGCTCTTGATAGAACAGTTTACTTTGGCTCCCAGTTTCAGGGGTTTCAGCCCACAATCAGTAGGCCCTGATGCCTTTGGCCTGTGACAAGGCAGAATATCATGTGGGATAAAGTGGTAGAGAATGTGCTCCCTTCATGACAGCAGGAAGGCAGAGAGAGAAAGGGGCCAGGGCTCCAGCATCACTGGCAAGGGCACACCTCAGTGATCTAACTTCCTCCTACGAGGCCCACCTCTTAAAGTTTTCATCATTTTCCAGTAGTGTCACAGGATGGTGATCTAGCCCTTGACACACGAGGCTTTGGGGACCACTCAAGATCTAAACTACAGCAGATACTGAAAGACACAGTAATGGAAGCAAAGTGGAAGCTCAGAAGGTTCATTATGAGACATAACTTATTTTGGTTTAACCTGAGTTATCAAAAAGAAAAGCAGTCCGTTTGTAAAGGAGTACATGCTTTGGAAATGAATATTAGCTTGACTGTCTTTTTTGTACTGAAGAATGGCTTTTTAAATTCTTGTTTTCAAGGGTTTTTTGAGAACTTATTTTCCCATGCAGTTTTGATAAGTTGAATATTTATAAAGGTGTTGCTAAATTTTAGAAATTAGGTCAGGCATGGTGGTGCATGCCTGTAATCCCAGCACTCAGGAGGCTGAGGCAAGAGGATTATGGCAAGTTCAAGACCAGCGTGTGCTACAAAGTGAGCTTAAGGCCAACCTGAACTGCATAGTGAGACCCTGTCTCAAAAAGACAAAAAAAAAAAAGTTCTAGAAATTTATTTTAAAGTTAATGGTAAGCTCAGAGTCTCCCTTTGATATTCAGAACATATTAGTTGGCTTTATCTCTTGTAAAACTGACTCCTTCACTGCATAGTAGCTGTAAGTCTTAGTATTTTTAAACTATATCTCAGAGTAATTATTCAGCTAAGAGAAGGAAATTTTTTTTCTTTAGAAGTGGTCCAACTAAAAAGTTGAGAAAGGAATGACAGGGTAGCAGTATTTCACAATTTCTTTTTTTGGTGGTTTTTTTTTGCTTGTTTGTTTTTTGTTTTTTTCCAGTACCGAGAATCGAACTCACGACCTTGCGCTTGCCAGGCAGGTGCTGTGCTGCTGAGCTAAATCCCCAGCCCTCACAATTTCTAATGAATTAATGTATCTCTGCAAAGTTCATCAATGGCACATTACATAAATGACAGATCATGATGTACTTCTCATAAATGCTATAAAATGGTACCGAGGTATCTCTCCATAAGCTAAATGATGGTGATTAAGCCTAAGCTAAATGATGGTGATTAAGCCTAAATCTACCTACTGATTTATAGGAAATAAAGAGTACTTCTAGCATATTGGATGACTCCATGGATCAATGAACAAAATCTATACCAAGAACAATTCTATAGGACAAAAGACTATTTTCTTGAACAAATAATAATAAAACCTTCCCTTTGGCTAGAACTGCAATCTTCCAGTTATTTGCCAAAATGACAAACACAAAGGCAAAGAGGAGGGGAACCTGGCATATGTTCTCTAGGCCTTTTAGAAAACATAGGGTTGTTCCTTTGGCCATATATATGGGAATCTACAGAAAGGGTGATATTGTAGACATCAAGGGAACAGGTATTGTGCAAAAAGGAATGCCACACAAATGTTACCATGGCAAAACAGGAAGAGTCTGCAATGTTACCCAGCATGCTGTTGACATTGTTGTAAACAAGCAAGTTAAGGGCAAGATACGTGCTAAGAGGATTAATGTGCGTATTGAGCATATTAAACACTCAAAGAGTCAAGATAGCTTCCTGAAAGGTGCCAAGGAAAATGATCAGAAAAAAAAGGAAGCCAAAGAGAAAAGTACCTGGGTTCAACTGAAGAGCCAGCCTGCCCCGTCCAGAGAAGCACACTTTGTGAGAACCAATGGGAAGGAGCCTGAGTTGCTGGAACCTATTCCCTATGAGTTAGTTCATGGCGCAGGCTGGGGATGGAACTCTGCCATTCAGCACCTAATTGCTGCTAGGTATTCCAGGCCCTACTCAAACATAAAAAATCATCCTGTGTTGTAAGATTGGTTTTCTTAATTGAACAAGTGCTTGGTGCCTTTACCTCACAAACAAATATTTGGAGCAGATTTTCATCCTACCTAGTTAATTGTGTCAGGTCTTTACTCTTCAGTGTTTTTCTTACAGAAAGATATTGCTGAGGTATTGTGTAGCTGTACACCCAGATGACCACATATTTATGAAATATTTATATTGGCTTGAAGATCCTGTAAATCACCATGGAGAAAAGACATAGCAAAATAAATGGAAGTCTATTTCACTTAGATAAATTTTAAAGCACCTAAAATAATAATAATAATAAAAAGAAATGAGACAAAACAGAGAAAAAAAAGTTGAGAGTGTTACACAGACCTGTAATCCCACCTATTTAGGAAGCTGAGGCAAGAGAATTGCAAATTCAAGGCCAGCCTGGGCAACTTAGCAAGACTGTCTCAAAATTTTAAAAATAAAATATGAAGGGAGCATATAGCTTAGCAGCACAGTACCTGTCTGGCAAGCACAAGGTCCTGAGTTTGATTCCCAGTACCAAAAAAATATATATATCTACCTATCTATCTATCTATCTATGGACCAGAGTTCAGTCCCTTGTACCATTAAACAAAATTTAACAGAACAACCACCAAGTGAATGCCCATACACACATACTTCATTGAAACCTAATTCAAACAAACTTTTATTTGTTCATTTTTTTTGGGGGGGGGTGGTTTCTCTGGTACCGGGAACCGAACTCACGACCTTGAGCTTGCCAGGCAGGCGCTTTTGCCCCTGAGCTAAATCCCCAGCCCCACAAACAAACTTTTAAAACAATTATGGGATAACTGCGGAAATGTGAATGCTAAAAATTGGACATCAGCTGATAATTGTTGAAGTACGATTGTGAATAAATGGAAAATTATTATTTTGTTTTTATTATTTTTAAAATTTTTCTCTATTTTTAGATGATTAAAATTGTCTATGACATAAATGACTTGTGTAGGGGAGAGCATGTTTTTTATTTATTTGTGTTTTGTTTTGTTTGCAGTACTAGGGACTGAACTCAGGTCTTTGCAATGAGCTATATCCCCAAACCCTTTAAAAAAGTTTTTGGGCCAGGGATATAGCTCGGCGGCACAATGCCTGCCTGGCAAGTGCAAAGTCCTAAGTTTGATTCCTGGTACCAAAAAAAAAAATTTTTTTTTATGGTGGTGCATGCCTGTAATGCCAGCCTTCAGGAAGCTGAGGCAGGAGGATCATTGTGAGTTCGAGACCAGCCTGGGCTACAAAGTGAGCTCAAGTCCAGCCTGAACTGCAAAGTGAGACCCTGTCTCAAAAAACAAACGAACAAAAAAAGAGCAAAAAATTTTTTATTTGGAGACAGAATCTTGCTAAGTTGCCCAGATGTGCTGGGATTTACAAGTGTGCACCACCATGCTCAGCTCAAAAGTTTTAAAACTGTTTTAAAATTGATCTTAAGGTATTTTTTAAATAAGATGTGGTATGAGAAATATATCTGGTCTTTCTCCTGGATTCCTAGCCCAGGTTCCTGTTATGGTTTGGATCTTCAAATATCCCAAAAACCGTATGCTGATGGTGCTATTGGGAGATGGTGGCGCCATTAGGAAGCAGAGCGAAGTGGAAGTGAGCAAGGTCACCAGGACTTGCCCTTGAAGGAGTTACTGGGACCCTGACCTGCTCCTATGTATCCCTACTTTGTCAGTGCCATGAGGCAAGTGACTTTGCTCTGCTAGATGCTTTCCACCATGATAGTCTTCCTTGCTACAAGCCTAAAGTAACACAGCCAGCCAACCAAATTCCTCGAAAATTATGTGACAAAATAAACTCTTTCTCCTTATAAGTTGTTTATCTCAGGTATTTTGTCAAAGTATGGAAAGCTGGTAACAGAAAAGTGGTCCTGAGAAGTGGTGTCATTGCTGTGACTATACCTGGTACTGTAATTCAGAAGTCCTTGGAATTGGTTTGAGGGAAGAATTTGAAAAAGTTTATAGAAATTACCTAGAGAAGCTGGGCATAGTGACACACGGCTTTAATCCCAGCATTGAGGAGGCTGAGGCAGCAGGATCATTTTAAATTTGAAACCAGGGCTGGGGATGTAGCTCAGCAGCATAAGCGCTTGCCTGGCAAGCCTGAGGTCATGAGTTCAATTCCTAGTACCAAAAAAAGAAAAAAAAATAAATTTGAGACAAGCCTGGGCTACAAAGTGAGCTCAAGACCAGCCTGAACTGCGTAGCAAGACCCTGTCTCAAAAAGACAAAAGAAAAAGAAACCTAGAGAAAACTTTTTTTTTTTTTTTTTTTTTTTGTCTTTTTGAGACAGGGTCTCACTATGCAGTTCAGGCTGGCCTGGAGCTCACTTTGTAGCCAGGATGGTCTCAAACTCACAACGATCCTCCTGCCTCAGCCTCCCAAGTGCTGGGATTACAGGTGTGTGCCACCACACCCGGCACCTACAGAAAACTTAAAAGCTGTTGTCAGCAGATCTTAATGGGCAATTCTGGCAGAGCTCTGAAGACCAGAATGCAGAAAGAAATAAAGACAGTGAAAGCTGTGATCATGAAATGGTTTTAGATGGAAATGAAGACTTGGTTGAAAATTAGACTGGAAGCTAATCATCGTACATTCTAGTAGATAACTTGTCTACATTTTGTCAATGCCCCACGACTTTGAGGGAAACTGTGATTTTAAAGTGATGGACTATTAATCTGGTGGCACAAAATTTAAGATTGCCTAGCACTCAGGAAGCAGCATGGGTATTATTAGCTTCTTTTAGCTAGATATTGTACATAATGAGAATAAGGAGCAAAAAGCAGAGTGGAAATATTTGAAAAACTTGCCTTTCAGCCAGAAAAGGAGTACATTTGAAGTTCCACCTAAGACCAGGTGTGGTAGTGCTCAGCTGTAATCCCAGCACTCGGGAGGATAAGGCAGAGGGACTACTGCAAGTTCAAGGCCAGCCTAGGCTACGTAATGAGTTCAAGGATAGCCTGGAATACATTCTGAGTCCCTGTCTCAAAAAAAAAGTTCCATCTAAGGAAGATATACATGCTAAAGAGATTAATATTAAAAAGAAGCCAAAGCTGGGCATGGTGGTGTGCACCTATAATCTTAGCAATCTGGGAGGCAGAGGCAGGAGAATTCCAAGTATGAGCCTAACCTGAGCAACTTACCAAGACCCTATCTCAAAATATAAAAGGCTGGGGATGTAGCTCAGTGCAAAGGCCTTGTGTTTAATCTCAAATACTGAAAAAATAAATAAATGAAAATAAGCCATGTACTTTGTGCCAGAATAATAGGAAGGATGTCTGAGGGCATCTCATAAACCAGTAAGACTCTACCCACTGAAGATTCATGACTTGTTCCAGAGTCCTAAGGCAACCTGTTTTACAGGATCACCTGGGATATTGCTTCACTGGGATTCATTTACCTACGTTAGGGCCAGGGATATAGTTCAGTGACACAGCGCCTGGCTGCTAAATGCAAGGTCCTGAGTTTGATTCCTGGTAAAAAAAAAAAAAAAGGCAGAACATTTACCTATGTTCAGCTGCCCAGTAAGGCCACAGAAGCTATGTCCAGATGGGCCTATCTACTGCTCAAACTAGTGCAAGATCTTGGCCTCATCCATAAGATGCTGGTTCTACAAGCATGCAGAAAGCAAGAGTTGTGGTGTCATGAAGGCCTCCATCATGATATCAGAGGAAAGTCTAGGTAGAATCAGAATCCTTGCAAGCAAACTCAGACAGCAATACACGAAGCTGTGACAGTGAAACCATAGCTGCCATGGACACTTTGGGAAATTACAGATGCCAAAAATATGCAACCGCTGCTAAAGGGAACAGCAGGCAATGAGCCGAATTATCCCAAGAAAGTGACCATGTGAGCTGCTGACACCAAAGACACAGGGGTAGAGGAACCCAAGCCCTTGGTGGCCCAGATCCCACTATATTGTTCCCTGGATGCCAGATATGGAGCTACAAGATCTAATGTATGTCCTGCTCCATTTTGGTCTTGCTTTGGTCCAATCTCTCCATCCCTATGTCCTTATTCCTCCTTTTGGAATGGGAAAATTTACCCTATAACACTGTATCTTAGAAGTATATAACTTTCTTTTTGATTATTACAAGAGCTCACAGCTAAGAGTTTGCCTTGAGTCTCAAAGACTTTGGACTTGAACTTTTGAGCAAGGCTGGAACTGTTAAGACTTTGGGATTCATGGACATGGATTACATGTACTTTGCATTATGGGATGGACATGAGCCTTTCAGAGCCCAGGGAAGAATGTCATGGTTTGGACCTAAACTTTCTCTCAAAAGCTCATGTGTTGAAGGTTTGGCCACCAGCCTGTGGCACTACTAGGATTTGGTGAAACTTTAGGAGACGGGCTAGTATAGTGTAAGAAATGTAGGTTATTAGGGGCAGGTCCTTCAAGGGTATATTAGGACCCTGCCCAATCCTTCTTTTCCTGCTTCCTGGCCACCATGGAGTGAGCAGCTTTTCTTTACTGTGTGCTCCCTACTGTGATGTTTCTGCCTTGCCACAGGCCCAAAACAAAAGATCCAGCCAACCATGGACTGAAACCTCTGAAACCATGAGCCAAAATAAACCTTTCTTCCTTTAAGTTGATTTTATCAGGTATTTTATCATAGCACGGGAAAGCTGACTAACAAAGCTCCTAACACCTTTGTCATTTCCTGAGCAACAGATAAATTTTCTGTTATTCATAACAACCTCCCTCCCTTTAACCCACACCTGGATTTGTATTAATGAGGTGACTCTTGGTGGGTTCTTAGAAAATTTCAGGATGGGAGCAGGTTGCCAGAGGAACCAACTAATTAGAGGAACCAGAACTTTCAACTCTAATCCTTTTTTTTTCTCCATTCATCTAGGGAAAAAAGAAGGACCAAAGACTGGTTCCATCAGTAAAGGTCAATTATTTAATCAATCACATCTAAGTAACAGAACCTTCATAAAATCCCCTAAAGAAGGAATTTTGGAGAGCTTTCAGGTTGAACATATTGAAGTGATGGAAAGAATGGTATGCCTAAAGAGGGTATGGGAGCTCTGTGCCCCTGCCCTACATATCACTTCCATATGACTATGCCTGGGTTGTATCTTTTATAGTTGGCAAGTAATACATAATGTATCTTTCTGAATTCAGTGAGTCCTTCTAGTAAATTAGCAAAGTTTGGGGTGAGGAGAGGGAGAGGATGGTGGACTTCTGAATTTGTAGTTACCCAGGCTGAAATATGGATAGCCTGGGTACCCTATTTGTGGCTAGCAAGTGATACCAGTATTGTGGAGCTGAGGTGCTAA